TTGTTTGCCTTTCATCTTCTTTTTCTCGCTACATGCGAGAGCTTTGCCTTTGCTTGATGAAGAGGCTTCTTCATGACCCATCTTTCGTGACATTTCAAATACCACTAACTTGCCAATGACTATGCCCGGAGTCATGTTGCTCAAGTCCTCCATGTTGTGAAGGATGATGATGATGCTTGCATATTTCTTTTGTGGTAGCACGGAGATGATCTTCCTCACGATGTCCGCATCATCTAGCTTTATTAATCCTATTGAATGGAGCTCATTGATAATTAGATTCAAACAAGAATACATATCACGAACAAGCTCATCATCATTCATTGTAAAAGAATCATAATTTTGTTTAGCTAGATAATGTTTTTGCTCACGGACATTACTTGTGCCGTCATGGAGTTCTTGAAGTTTTAACCAAATTTCATGTACAGTATTTAAAGTGAACACTTGGTTAAACACATCCATGCTTAATGATTCAAACAAGCAATTCTTAGCTCTAGCATTAAAATGCATTTCTTTTTCATCACTATTTGTGGATTTTTCAGGATTCTTGATGGATTTCATCCCGTCACGAGTGACTCTCCATACACCCAAATCAACCGCCTCAAGGTGGCAAGCCATTCTAGCCTTATAGTAGGGGAAGTTAGTGCCGTCAAAATGCAGAGGCCTAGCGGCATCCATCTCAACCACTCTAAATGGTGTCGACTCAACGGTGGTTAAGCCAAAGGTCCAAATTGAGCCAACCGGCTCTGATACCAATTGAAGGGACCGTGACGCCTAAGAGGGGTGGGGGTGAATTAGGCAACTTAAAATTCTAACTCTAAACTATGGCCTCTTTTTCGACCTCTAGCAAAACATATGCAAAAGATAAACTATCTAAATGTGCAACTACAGTTTTGCTAGTGTGTTGCTATCCCTACCGCAATAATAGTAATGTAAACAATGTAAATACGGAAGCTAAAGAGTAAGGTAGAGAAATACAAACTCCCGTCGACGACTCCGGTATTTTTACCGAGGTATCGAGAAGCGCGCAAGCTTCCCGCCAGTCCTCGTTGGAGCCTCTCGCAAGGAATCCCTCACAAGGGCCAAGCTCCCGGTCGGGTAACTCCGTGGATAGCCTCAGGCCTTCCCCACGCGCAAATGGGTCTCCGACGTGCCTTCCGGCAAGCCTCTCCCGGATGCTCCCCGCCGTCTTCACTATCAAGCTTCCGGCCGAAACGCCGCGGGCCTTGTTCCCTCTGGTACACGGTGGCGGCCACACCACAAACTCGGTTGGTGTGATCTCGCAAGACTGCAAGCCCCGCCGATGTACAACAATGGTGCTCGCAAGCACCGGGTGGTAAGAGATGTGCAAACCTCACTAAACACTAGGTCTAAACCTAGAGCAAGCGCATAAGTGGTGGTCTAATCAACCTAAGCACTTCGCAAAGCACCTACGCTAATCACCTAATGAAACACTAAGCACTATGCAAGTGGAGATCACTAAAATAGTGTATCAACACCCTTGGTATGTATCCTCAGCTCCACACCCCTCAAATGGCCGGTTGGGGGTTGTATTTATAAGTCCCACTGAGAAAATAGCCGTTGGGGACGAAATCCCGCTTTTCTGTTACTGACCGGACGCTGAAGTCGTCCTGACCGGACGCGTCCGGTCGTCCCGACCGTTGAGCTGCGAACACTCGATCGGACACTGCCAGCGTCCGGTCGCCTGCCACCGAACGCGTCCAGTCGCAGTTTCGCCGCTCTGGAACCTTACTGTGATCGATCGGACGCTGATGCCCTGCGTCCAGTCGGTTGCCGCCAGCGTACGGTCTAGCGTCCGGTCGCCTGTTTGCCCTGAGCCTCTTCCAGCGTCCGGTCGCCTCTGCCCAGTGTCCGGTCGCCTCTGCCAGCGTCTGGTCCAGCGTCCGGTCGTCTTTGTGAGCTCATTTCTTCGCGATCTTGCGTACGGCTTGGTTCCTGTGTTTATGCTTGGACTTTGCTTGATATCTTGGGTCTTCTCTTATGCTTCTAAGGTCTTGCTTAAGGTGTTGATCATTGGATCATCACGTCGCCTTCGTCCAAGTCACATCTTGCACCCTATTGAACTATAAAACAAACACTTATAAATTCATTAGTCCAATTTGGTTGTGTTGGTCATCAAACACCAAAATCCAAAGTAAATGGGCCTAGGGTCCATTTTCCTTACAGTTGGTATAGATGGCCATATGGCCTGAGGCCCATGAGCACGGCCCACGGCACGACGTTTTGGTCCGGCCCAAGCACGGCACTGCCTGATGCACAGGCCATGCCTGGGCTTCCCCTCAGCATGATGAGCCGGCCCGGCCCATCACGATTAAGGCAGGCCCGACGCGGCCCGCTAGGTTCCTGTAAGGTCGAGATGGCGGACTAGAGGGGGGGTGAATAGTCTTTTCTAAAATTAATCGCGTCTACTAACCGATATAAATGCGGAATTAAAACAATCGGTCTAGCCAAGACTACACCCCTCTATATATGTTCACTAGCACCTTGCAAAGATACTAATAAAGCAACTAAGGTGCCGGGCTAGCTAGAGCTCTCCTAAACAATTCTAGGAGCAAGGTCACACAAACCTATGCCACTAGTACTTTAAGCAACAAGGGAGCTCCTACACATGCTAGTAAGCAAAAGCACAAAGCCAACTAAGCTCACTAGCAATGCTCAATAACAAGGCAACCAATGCCTAATTAGAGAGCGCAAATACTTAGCTACACAAACTAAGCAATGTGACTAACAAGGTTACTAAAATCAAATTAGCCACGCAAGGGAGCTACTTCTATGCTACACAAGCAAGAAGGTAACTAGCTAGCTACACAAGCTATCTAATTACAAGAGCAACTACACAAGCTCAAGATATATATATAAGTAATTGCAAGCTTTACTTCTTCCTCCCCCTCTCTCTTTACTAAAGTTGCTCAATGAGGGTAGCTCAATGACACGCTTTACTAAAGTTGCTCTTCGCGACTCCCGCGGGGCGAGCACAAGTACCCCTCACAAGCACTTCTCCGGAGCGCCGCACAAGCTTCTTGCGGGCTTCGACGGAGACCACCACCAAGCCGTCTAGGAGGTGGCAACCTCCAAGAGTAACAAGCACCACCGGCTTGCAACTCGATCACCTAGTGCCACTCGATGCAACCTCACGATGCAATTGCACTAGAATCGCTCACTCACACAATCGAATGATCACTATCAAGTATATGTGTGATGGAGGGCTCCCAAGCACTCACAAGCATGGACACTAAGTCCCTTGAGGTGCTCAGCACCAGCCATGGCCGAGGGCCACTTCTATTTATAGCCCCAAGGGCTAAACTAGTCGTTACCCTTCTTCATGGGCAGCGGTCGGGCCGACCGGACGCTCGGTCGTGTTGACCGGACGCTGGACCTCGGCGTCCGGCCGCCCGCAGACGACCACGTGTCCGGTTCCAACGGTCACTTGACTTGACCGGACGCGGCAGCTTTCAACCGGACGGACGCTGAACCCCCAGCGTCCGGTCGTTTCGATAAGCAGTACCAACCTCGACCGGACGCGTCCGGTCACATTTTTGATCGGACGCAGCCGGCGTCCGGTCACACCTCCAGCTTTCTGCGCGTCATCAGACGTCGACCTGGCCGGACATGACTGCCGATGTCCGGTGCATTCAGATCCAGCGTCCGGTCGGTTGACCGACGCCAAGATCTTCGCGACTAACTTGTTTTCACTTCTAACTTCATCACCCTTGCTCTAATGTGCTAACCATTAAGAACTTGCACGGCGTAGCAATAGAAAATAGGCATTCTATTTTCCCGAAAGCGCCGAATCCCGCCCATAAGTTTCGGCGAGAGGAGAGAGGGACCCAAACCCATCTCACCCCGCAAACACCACCTCCTTTGTAAATGTGCCAACACCACCAAGTGTACACCACCATGTGTATGTGTGTTAGCATTTTCACAATCATTTCCCAAAGGATGTTAGCCACTCAACTTGCCACGCCACTCGATCCTAGCGACAATGCAAAGTTAGATCACTCGAGTGGCACTAGATGACCGATATGCAAACAAGTTTGCCCCTCTTGATAGTACGGCCATCTATCCTAAACCAGGTCATAAACTTCTCTACACACCTATGACCGGTGAAATGAAATGCCCTAGGTTATACCTTTGCCTTGCGCATTCCATTCCATCTCCTTCAATGTCGATGCAACACATGCACCAACACGATCAACAATGATATGATCCACTTCATATCATCACATGATCATATTGGTTCATCGATCTTGACTTCACTTGCCCTTCACCGTTGCTATCGTCCATCGGCGCCAAGTCTTGCTCAAGCTTCACCGCCACGCGGTCCATCACTCCAAAGCCTTCGACTTGCCCTTCTTCACTTGGTAACCGGTCCATCAAGCCAAGTCTTGTCTTGATCTTCTCCACCTTGATCACATGACTCAATGTCATGTCTCATGTGCAATAAGCTTCTTCATCATCACATGTGTGAGCTTTGCAACATCTCCAAGCCATTTTCACCTCCATGGCATATGTTGCTCATACACATGTACCTGTGGACTAATCACCTGTGTATCTCACATAAACACAATTAATCCACTTAGGTTGTCACTCAATTACCAAAACCAACAAGGACCTTTCAGTTCCCATATATAACATACTCCGAACTCTAACCTTTTTCTCCCAGCAGCCTCCTGTTTCTTCGATACCGCATCGTGCCGCATCCCTCGACTCCCGTTCCCGGTGCTGCACCCACCCCTTCCCTTCGCCGCTCTTCTCACCTGCCCCGACTCCACGTCGCTGATGCGAGGAGCTCGCGCCACAAGCAGCGCGTCCCACGGCCAGCACGCGCGCGGCGGCACGCCCCCACGGCCAGCGCATGCCCACGGTGAAGCGGCCCTCTCGACGGGCTCAGTCGGCCCTCGGGCCATCCCGGCACAGCTAGACCCTCATTGGGCCGTGCCTGGGTCGAAGGTACAGCCAATGGGATGGCACGGCACAGCACGATGGCTCCACCGGGCCGTGCCTTCAACGGGTCCGGACCAGGCTGGGCCACCGTTTGGCCATCTATAGCAGTTGGGGCGTGGAGCTGTTTGGTCCCAACTCCTGGGCCATGCACGCCGTGCAATTGGGAGCCGCTTCGGGGTCTCCTGGGGTCGATGGGCGATGGCGTTCTGGTCGTGGGCTCCGCTGTGCTGGGAGACCTGGGGCGCGTGGCTGCTGTGGGAGTTGCGGCTCCGCCGACCTCCATGCTGGAGCTTCAGCAGCACCTGTGCGTTCCACTGCAGACTCCGTTAATCCCAGGGAGGCCGAAGCGTAGAGTGGCAAAGATCGAGTGAGGCGATGTGTCGCTGAGAAGGAGTGGTCGGCTGGCCGCAAAGCCTAGGGCAGCCAACGCCACGGCGCAGGCGCAGAAAGTTCTCATGGTAAAGATGGGCCTCGCAACCTCAGTTCGTTCTGTTGACTCTGAAGCTTTCAAGAAATTCGAGTCTGTCTTTGCTGTCGGCAAGCAAACACGAGGCCTTCAAGGCCTTCCAGGATGATGACTTCCTTCGATGACTTTGTCTCGGAAGTTCAGGACGTCGAGGTTGAGGCTCGGTAGACCAATGGTGGTTGCTTCTACTGTCGCATGCTTGTTGCTTATGTCAACACAAAAAATGTTATGCTGGAACGTGCGCGGGCTCAATGGCCGGGCGCGTCGTAACGTCGTGCGTCAGTTGGTTGTAGACGAATGTTTGTCCCTCATCTGTTTGCAGGAGACTAAGCTCTCCGTCGTATGTAATCAACTTGATTAATGAAAGGAGAAGGCGCCACGGGCTGCAGGCAACTGTTACTTGCGTCCTCTGTGAGTTCCAGGGGACAGCGTCGGCTCCTAGTGTTCTGTTACAACTCATCAACGAAGAAGCCAGAGAGTGGGCAGTCACAGGTTACAGGCATTTGCAGTCGCTTCTTCTCCTACGAGTATTGCTTTGTAGCTTTCTGTTTTGTCGTGCTGCGGCTTGTGTAATAGCAGGTTTGTGAATCCTTTCCCGCACGACTTCTCGGTAATCATCGTTACCAGAGGGCTGCCTACTTTGTACCTGTTTTTTCTACCTTCTCTCTCGATGAAATACGTGCAATGGCACAGTCGCGAAAAAAAAATGCTCCTAAAAATAGAGGAATAAGAGCATCTCCACTAGATTAAGGATATCCAATCCCTTACATATAGCTAAAGGGGATTGACAAAACAGACTTTGGGAGTATAGGGGAACCGTGCTCTTGCGGATTGGGGAAAAATTATAACCTTTATTCTCCTAATAGGCTGGGCCCGCATGTCAATGGTACTTATCTTCTTCCTCCCCCTCTCTCTTCCTTGTCCATAGCAGCTGGGAGCAGCGCGGCTGGCGTGAGGCGGCGTGACTGGCCTGGAGCCCACGGTGGCGGGCGACACAGGGCTATCTGGATCGGCGGCCAGCGCAGGGCTCGCTGGATCAAAGTACAGCGCCGGCAGCTGGTGCGTGGGGCGCGGCAGCTTGGAACCACGGTGACGGCATGTGGGGCTCGGCAGCTTGGAACCACGGTGATGCCAAGTGACGAGGACATCACTCCTTCAGATGCACCGACTGATCCGGAACCCCCATCCCCATCACCAAGTCTACGCCAGCCCGCCGCGCAAAGGCCGGTGATGCTCGCGGTTCGGCTGCTCTTCCCTGACGCTCAGCCGCCAGCAGATCTGCGAGTCGCTGCTCCTACCCGCCGCGGTTCGGTTTCTCTTCCCTAGGCCACCGAAGTTTTCTTCCCCAGGCCGCGGTGTTGCTGGCGCGAGCTCGAGGGGCCATGGCTGCGCGCCGGCGAGCGCGGGAGGGCACAGCAGCGAACAGCGCGAGCAGGTGCGTGGCTGGCACATGGGAGAGCAGGCGGCGTGAGCAGGTAGCCCGGCCGCTGAGCGTGGCTGTGCACCGGTGAACTCGGGCAGGGGCGGCAGTGGGCAGGCGAGCGTGGCGGTGGACCGATGGAAACGAGAAGGGATAAGGTTCTTGTTTCATGGGCAAAACGGGAACAGAAATTTAGTGGGAATAAAACAATGATTAAATTTTGTAATAAATCAGTTCAAGTACATTTGAGCGAGTGTGTGCAATTTAATAATAGCAAAGTCACCGATCCCTTCTGCGGCACGACCAACAAGCGAAACCTGAGTTTCATAATGGCAAAATCGCAATTTTGTCCGCCATGCAGCAGGTCGATGTCTCTAGGCAGGAACTTGTTGGCCTCTTCCATGCCCTTGAGGAACATGGCCTTGCTTCCCCCATCCTGCTGCTGGGCACTGAAGAATGCCGAGGCCAGCACGGCGTGGTCACCATCGACGACTGCAAGCATAGTGCTGTTGGCCTTTTTCTCCACCTCCTCCTCGGCGGCGGCGTCACTCCGGGAGGTGGTGCCAGCGTGCCCCAATTGCGCCGGCCTCTCATCACTCCGGATGCCAGCATCCCCCAATCGCGCCGGACTCGCCGTGCTGGCGTCCGCGGTGAGGTCGTCGGCCCCCACTCCCGTGTCGGAGCCGGAGGACACCGACATGGTGGCGCTGCCGTCCGAAGAGGAATCCGCAGTGGCGTCGTAGTCGGAAAGGACCCGCGCGTACGATTCCTGGGCCTGATGTAGCGCGGGGTGGTCGGGGTACTGGTAGAAGAACTCTTCGTCCATCCCGTCCTCCATGAGCATGCGCTCGATGAAGGGGAGGACGAGGTCGTCGGAGGCCGGGTCCTTGCCCTCGCCATTGCTGTCGGGGCGGGGCGTCGGGGGCAGGTTGAGGAAGACGGAGGGGGAGAAAGGCTCGGCAGGGTCAGCCACGAAATCCTCCGGCGAGGCTGCCATGGCTGCGACTGCGAGGCTGGGTAGCCTGGGCGACGTTAAAAAAAAATAGGAGCTTTGATTGTGGTGGACTGATGGGGGAGTGGGTCGTGGGTGGATAAAAACGGAATCTTTTTCTTTTTTTGAGAGAAGGGAAAGCGCCGAGAAGTTCGTCCTGAGGCCAAACGCAACTGTGATGAAGCCTATTGCGACTTGTCTTCTTCTTGTGCCAGGCTGCAGTATCAGGCACCTGCTAGGCTGCTACATTGAAAACGAGTAATGGCTTCCTCCAATTTTTTTTTTTTTAATTTTCTTGTTACTAGAACGCAGCAAACACACAATGCACTGCACCTAATACATATGATTAGTGGTCTGTCTCTGTCACCTGGCACGACAATATTCTGAATTTGCTCATGCTGAACATGCATTAGAAAGGTGGAATAATTTATAAAGTGGATGGACGGAGCAAAAGACACACCAAGTTGCACCTGCTTCAGATCTGCATATGCCAACCTCTAATAATCAGACTGCCCACCTTTGCTCAGATGTTCATACCCTGCTCCAAACATGGACTCTTGAGCAAAATTATTACTGTACAAAACCTGAAAAGTAAATGAATAAACATGACAGAGATGCATAGAGTGAGCCTATTACACCCTCCAAGAAAAAGGGTACGATTCTCTATGCTAGAACACTCCATAGAGAAAGAAAGAGTCTTAAGAAAAACAGAGTGAGAAATGACTCAATCATCTCTGATCTGAAGTTTGTTCAATGTTACTCTAGTTTGATCAAAAGCTCAAAAGCCTTACTGGAATCCTAGCAGGTTCCGCATTCGACGCACCATTAAGCCAGTAACACAATATCAACCGATGAACTTATTTGTGGAAGCATCAAAAACTGCTACTTCGAATCTCTGATGCAATTTAGTTGTGTAATATCGCAAAAAGTTATTTTTGGGGCGCGGTGACTGATGGTAATTCTCATTACCTTAAGTCGGCCGTTGTTGTAATCAAAATTCTAATTCCTCTTATTGAAATACGTGCACACGCACGGTCTCGAAATTTTTTTTAACTTACGCCCAATTTGCAGATGTGCAATTCTGGACCTTTCCCTGTCATCACCAGTAACTTAGTACTACTGTGAACGAATTATTATGATAAAAGGATCATTGTAAGCTTACAGTGACCATAATGTGTCCATCTTTGTTCAGAAACTATCACAACAGTCATACTATGTATCATCACATATAAGCAGATGCCATCCAGCACCTCTCCCGAAGTTGCAGAAACAGTTTCTTTGCAAGGCCCTTGTGTCTGGGCATGCTGCTATAGCATTTGTACTCCCTACGCTTTGAGCAAAAGAATCAGTCAGGTAGGCTGAATAAGCCTGCCATAGTTTGATCCCCAAAAAAAAAAAGACCCAAACACCTCTTTCAACTGTACTCTGAATGAAATAATTAAGAAAATATTCAGCAGAAACCGTCCCCAGGTAGAAAATGGGAAAAGTATGGTATCAATAAGTTTGCATTTGAAACAATCACCAAAAAATAAAGAAGCAGAAATCACTACTCTGAATAACAGAATAACGGTGCGATTTTAACGCTTAATCACGTGTCTGTTTACTCTTTCCAGATGCAAGGGAATACCATGTTACAACAAAAAGTGGACTTCACAACACAGGTACCACAAGTGGTCTTTCAGTTTGTCATACATTTACACTGGTTCTGCATCAACACGCTGAACTAATCTAAGATCCTATGCAGATATAAGAAGCAACAAGAACACCCAAAGAAGCATCTACTGATTTTGACGGAAATTCAGAAAGTGTGTTACATTATTAGAAGCATCTACTGTTACATTATTAGAAGATATTATAATGCATCTACTGCTTATATCCAAGCATCTTTAAATAAAGTGTGTTGAGCCACATTACACAGAGGCATATATCTCTGTATCTTGTGATGAGAAGCCGTTAAAGTTCTGAGATAGCGTCATCTGAATTCTGAAACTCATGTCGACGTGGCATAGAGTATGAATACCTTCCACCACAGCAGCTGAGCAGTTCATGAACTTCATTGGTAAGACAGAAATTCAGAAACATATGTATAGTTGCAATTATCGATATTTCTCTATGCAGTGAGAAAAGCAGCTAAAGTTCTGAGACAGCGTCATCTAAAACTCATGTCGACATGGCATAGAGTATGCGTCCCTTCCATCCTTCCAGAAGCCAATTATGATCTGTGTCAATGATAAAGTCCTTGTGATACTGATCCCTAACTTTGTCCCTCAAGGTCTTTACAATATCTGGATCCAATGGAAGCTGCTTTAGCCCTGCCCGGTGGTTCTGCACCTGCCATTGCTTATATGTCTCCGGGCGCTCCACCCTGTCCGTGCCTTCACAGGCAACAACATTCAGGGCAGACTGCCTAAAGAGGCCCCGCTCAACCAAAAAGCGCTGGTGACTATCCCGTGGAGCCGTGGCATCCAGCATGTCAAACATTGCAGAGTAAAAGAACAGCGCCTCCCGGAAACGTGTTACAAAGAATGGAGCACTATACGAGACATTCATGACATAAAGGATGAATGCATCTGGTTGCATCTTACGAATGGTTCTGAGGACAATATCCCTAGGGCTTGGACTATCGATGTCGACCCCCTCGTCCATCAAATTTCCAAACAGCATGATACTGTTGACAATGAGTACCTCATCAGGGTCAATGTTCAGGTCATCAACAAGAACTGTGTCCCACCTCGTCGTGATGACACCATGGAACTTGAATGGGACACCGAGCTGACGAGCATATAATTGCTGAGCCGGCGCCCTGTCTCCTCAATCCGCACAGCTGGGCGGAATCCAGGCTGGGGGAGGTCAATGCCGGTGATCCTCACTTCAGGTGGTCCACCCTCCAAGTTCGCCAAACGGTATAGCAAACTTGGCCACAGAACCCCATAATTCACGCCGTAATCCACGATGTGAACCTTTTTCCTCCCAGCGATGGCCTTGAGGATTGTCATGTTGGAGAACCTGAATGCCGTCATTTTGAAACAGCAAGCTGCCAGGTACAACCAGTAGGCCTTGAGGTACTCCACGACCGGGATGCGCTCAGCCATGAGAGACCTGTAGAGCTGGCTCCCTGACCCTGCCAGACCGAGGCCAGCGCCGCGTGGTCACCGTCTCCGGCGGGCAAGGTTGTGGCCTTTAATTGCGCCGGACTCTGCTCAAACTCCGGGCTGCCACCATCTTGTGCGGGCAAGAAGAAGGTGCCGACACCGTCTTCGGTGAAGCCGTGCAGTCCCGTATCGGGGTACGGCGGGGACATGAGGAGCTGGACTGGGTCGTCGGAGGAGGACGGCGATACGGTGGCGGGGGAGACCGAGGCGGCGCTGTTGGTGCGAGCCGTGGCAGCGTCAGAGAGGATCTGCGCGTACGGTTCCTGGGCTTGGAGGAGCACGGGGTGGTCGGGGAACTGGTAGAAGAATTGGTCGTTGATGTCCTCCTCCATGAGGATCCGCGTGATGAAGGGGAGGACGAGGTCATCCGACGAGGCCGGGACCTCGCCGTTGCCATCGGGGCGGGGCGTCGGGGGCAGGTCGAGGAAGATGGACGGGGAGAATGGCTCGGGGTCAGCGAAGAGGCCCTCGCCCTCCGGCGCGGCGGCCATGGCTGCTGGTGAGATAAAAGTCCAAGAACGGCGATGCTTTGTTTAGAGTGTGGGTGGATGAAAGTTCAAGCTTTTTGGTTTCTCTTCGCCATAAGGAAAGGAGCGGTACTAGTAGTCAATCAACAAAGGAAAGTTCGGAGAAGACGAATGCTACAGTGGTGGCGGCTTACCGAGAGTCCTACCGGTGCTTGATAAAAAAAAGTCCAGGGTACACCTGCTGCTTTTTTGGATAAAAAAAATGATCAAACACATGCTGCTAAGTGCTAGACTGTCATCGGCAACCACGACCCAAAATACAACACCCATTTGTCCTTTGAGTAGCGCTACAGATAAATGGTTCAATATTCATTTTTTTTGTCTTCTTCAACAACCAGACCAAAAGAGAACCATTTCTGCAAATGTGTTTTTAGGAGAGAGGATACTCAGATTTGGGTTATGCCTCCCCTGACACCCAAAATTAGGTCTTTCCTATAGATAATCTGTTGGAGGCTATAGGTATTCTATTGGATATCTATTTTGGGTTTGGATTCCGCAATGGGTTTCGTGTTGGACACAGCCTAACATACGGAGTACTAGGTAGGAGTAGTCTCTGTCTTGTCGTGTACAACAGAAAAACTTTTTTTTTCCTTTGCTTGACCAAACTCTGCAGTATCAAATACACAGCAAAATACATGCAAACAGGTACCAGTCTTGGCCAAAAAAGGTTCTATCAAATACACAGCAGAATACATGCAAACAGGTACCAGTCTTGGCTAAAAAAGGTTCTTTCTCTCTTTTGGAGGAGAATACACAGCAGAAATTTTAACTATGGTCAGCTGGGAATATAATACACTTAATTACAATACCTGTGACCTGTCTGGACGAGAAAATGATGCTGAATATTCAGTCGAAACTGTACTCCCTATGACACACTGAATTTGCGACTCTTGTTGTATATGCATAATATAGTGACATGGATGAACAGAACAAAAGACAGACTAATCTTTACCTGCTTCAATTGTCCCAATGTCAGCCAGTCATAATCAACTTGTCCAGGTTTGGTCAGGTCATCTCCCCTGTTCCACACATGCACAGATGAACCAAATTGTTAGTGCTCCAAACCTGGAAAAGAAATAAACAAGACATAGAACCACAGATGCTCAGCCTATGAGATTGAACAAACAGGCAAAAATATTGTATAAGGAAAAACACAGTGCAAGAAATGACTAGTGCAAACAAGAAGCATCAGACTCTGAACAGTAAGTTTATCCAAGGCAACTGTAGCTTTATGGACGATCTTTATTTATTGCTAATATATGATAAAGGATCATTACAAACACCACAAAAAACCATTATAACTGTCAGATGCATAAATTTGAATGCATCCTCAAGCTGATACAAGCGTGACTCTTCCCATATTGCAGAAACATCCCATTATCCCGAATCTAGTGAACACTTTTAGCTGTACTTGTCTGGATGAGAAAATGGTGGAATATATCGAGCCAAATAGAATACTTTGATTAAACAGAGCAACTTTGATAATCACGCCTAGACACAAGGGAAATGCCAACAGTCTAGTGATACAGAAGAAACAGAACTGGAAGAGAGATAAAAAGTCGAATAAGTAATCAATAAAATTGCTTATCAGTTACAGGTGGCGTACACATCACAATTCGGCAACATATCCAGAACTATATCTACATCCTATGTAGCTCTAAGCTTCTAAGCATCTATTGTTCTACTTATTTCTAGCTTACAAAGTTTCAGCACTAAAACCCTCTAGGCCACAGATGCTGGGTCATAGTTTGGTGGTAAAATAAAGACAGACCATCTATCAAGCATCAATATCATTCATAATCCAAAACAAGGCGAAGTGAAGCAGCTAAAATATGGAGTTATTATCCTCAACAACCCATGTTGACATGGCAAAGAGGACCCGCCCTTTCCATTCCTGCAACAATCATAGATGATCCTCATCGATGAGAAAGTCTTTGTGGTAATAGTTCTTGACCTTAACCCTCGCAAGCTTTATAACCTCTAGATTCAACGGTAGCTGCTTGAGCCCAGCCCGGTGGTTCCGCACTTGCCATTGCTTATAAGTCTCAGGGCAATCCAACCTGTCTGCACTCTCACAAGCAATAACATTCAGGGCAGATCGCCCAACAATATCCCGCTCGATCAGTAGCCGTACATCATTGTCCCGGGGAATGGTTGCATCCAGCATGTCAAATAGTGCTGAGTAGTAAAACCGTGCCTCCCGGAACCGTGTCAGGAAGAATGGAGCACCACAACTGCTCGGGGTACAATTCTACAGGACGACCCTGTTTTCGTCACACTACTCTCGAAACATGTCTTTCATCTGATAAAATAGTTCAAATTAAACATCAATCAAAACAACATAAATTAATGTAAAATATAATCATTTGCATTGCAACTAAAATAATATAACCAACACTTATAGCAACAAAAATATACATGGTAAACATACTTCTAACTAAATAATTAACCTTAACATTGATAAAATCAAACTAATATCTTCCTCCAAACCGTAGCCCATAGTTCCCAAATATAATTTTTCTCCTAACCTTAACCCCCATTCATAATATTCCTATCCACCATTCAAACGAAAATAAAAAATGCATCATTACCTTGAACGAGGCCGAGGAGGGAGGGAGGTGGCCGGGGAATGGAAGGGAAGGGAGGCAGGCAGGCAGGCGCGTGCGGGCGTGGGCAGGCGGGCGTGCTTGGGCAGGCGGGACTGGGCCGCGACGCTTTTATTCGGCTCTGCCGCGCCACCGATCAGGGCGCGTCACTGCCGCGCCAAGATCGGTGGCGCGGCAAGCCCTGCCACATCACCGGTCAGCATTTTCGATCGTCGCCACGTCATCCTTTCCTCTTCCTCTACTGTAGCCCGCGCTTTCCCTTCGCCTATAAAAGGGGAAGCAGGGCGCCCCATAAAGGAAGGAGGGAGATCCGGACAAAATCTGAACACAAGAGCATGACACGAGCACATGGTTGAGTGGCAAGCGAGCTCTCAGTATCCGTTCACTCCTTCCACCAGAGACCTGGGATCCTCTCCCTCTCTCGACTGTTTGTAACCCCTACTACAAACCAAGTGCCGGTAGCACGAGCAGCAGTGAACTAGACGTAGGGACGTTCCACCCGAACCAGTATAAACCCTTGTGTCCTCCGAGCACACCATCCGAGCCAGACGTGCAAATACAAATTTACTCGTAGTTTGTCCGAAAACACCGACAGTTGGCGCGCCAGGTAGAGGCTTTTTGCGCGTCTCGACGTCCACATCAGGCCTCGGATGGCTAGTCGTGGCATCAGCTGGGTCCTGGGCGCACACATGCGCTTTGGGAACCTGGACTTCATCGTCACGACGGAGAGAGAGTTGGTGCAGGCTCCCGCCGCCGTCCAACCTCTCCACTCCACCGGCCTCGACACGATCGCCGAGGCGCTTGAGGAGCTGCAGCTGCACGCACCGGAGGCCCGTGCCTCTAGGAACAACCAGCTCCTCGGCTTCAATTATGGAAGGCCAGAGCACCAGCTCGGCGCCTTCCTGGGACCCCGACCATCCCGGAAGGACCTACGCCGCCTCACCTTCTCGTTCGCCAATGTCATGACGCAGCTTGTAGGAGGAGAGACACTCTCCTAGGAATGCCTCATCTAGAGTGCCCCGACAGCGCTCCCGTCCGGTCTGCGCAACGCCGTAGAAACCATTGGCCATTTGTGGCGTAGCATACGCCCCCATCCCCTATGGACGACGAGTTCGTGGGGATAACCGAATACGTCGCGGAATCTTTCCACGGCCTTCTAGCGGGAGAATCGGAGTCGCCCTATGACTCTAACACCAGCAGGGGGAGCCATCACCCCTCGTGAGAATGTTTTATGGCAGATACCCCCGAGGGATAAGTCAAAAATATCCACGAGGGAGGGGCTACCTCAACAAACGACCTCGACGACGAGGTCGAGGCGGACGCAGGGGCCCCACCTCGCCTGTCGGTAGAGCAGTAGAGGGCGCGGTACCAAGAGCTCGAAGAAGCACGACTCCAGCTCGAGCAGGAACGCACGGAGCTCGAGCGAGAGATCGAGCACCACAGAGACGGTGGGCATGTGCGCGTCGTGGCCTGCGACGTGAACCGGAGGATCATCGAGGACGACGAAGCCCTCCCACACTTCACCCGGGCAAGCCAGAACATCGCTGTCACAGCAGCCTTGCTCTAGGGGCTTCTGGAGCCTGTGACACCCGAGGATCGTCGGGCCTATTGCGAGATTCGCATACTACTCGAGTGTGTGGCGGCGCAGTAGGCTGAGAGCTCGCTCTCCCAACGACGCGAGCTCGACGCCAGCCAGCGCACGCCCTCAGAGCGACCCGACATGGACGTGTCAGTCCACCAGGCATAGCAAGGCGGTAGGCCGCGCGCTGCAGCCTCGGTGCATCAGCGTCTCGGCCTCCACCGTGACACGCATGACACCTTGGATGCCCGTAGGCGTGCCCACAGTAATGAGAGGGAGGAGGCTAGCCGTGGCTACCACCCTCGTCTTGGAGGACGCTACAATAGCGGTGAGGACCGAAGCCCAAGCCCCGACTTGTCAGGACCTTAGGCCTTTGACCGACACATCCTCAACACCGTCATCGTTACCAGAGGAACGAAGAAGCCAGAGAGTGGGCAGTCACAGGTTACAGGCATTTGCAGTCGCTTCTTCTCCTACGAGTATTGCTTTGTAGCTTTCTGTTTTGTTGTGCTGCGGCTTGTGTAATAGCAGGTTTGTGAATCCTTTCCCGCACGACTTCTCGGTAATCATCGTTACCAGAGGGCAGCCTACTTTGTACCTGTTTTTTCTACCTTCTCTCTCGATGAAATACGTGCAATGGCACAGTCGCGAAAAAAAAATGCTCCTAAAAATAGAGGAATAAGAGCATCTCCACTAGATTAAGGATATCCAATCCCCTACATATAGCTAAAGGGGATTGACAAAACAGACTTTTTGAGTATAGGGAACCGTGCTCTAAG